AGTCTCTACTAGAAGCATCTGATATTTATCTAGAAAGTTTCCTGGCAAGAAACTTGTCTAGAATATGGTGTTGGTGATAGCACTGCTTGGGTCAATTTATTTCTGATCTAAGTACATAGGAGCATGTGACCTTGCTCATCTTGGAGGTCAGGGATAAGTGGAAATTATCTCTGACTTTCTGAAGAAGTCTCTACTTAAGGAAAGCGAGATTCCTTCTGTAAAGATCTCTTGTGACTAATCTTCTCGGAAGAATCAATCTTTGTCATGTTTGGTTTCTCTAAAGAGGATTTTTCTGGAGCAAATGCATTTCAAAGGTAGCTATTGCAGAATAAAGGTTGTCTACTCAAACCTGATATCATTAATCAAGTCTATGAGAACATGGAACTCTTTTTCTGTTATATGGAGAAGGTTATTCTAAGTGGCAGAATGAAAGCCTGAACTCTCCAGCAGGATGTCTGATCAGATGTTGTGACATCAAGTAGAAACTTCAGTTTGTAGGAGTTGTGAGAAGAAGTAGATGTTACAGGTCCAAGTCTTTGTGTATCTACGTTGCCTTGGAGCATGTATGATATGAAGATCAAGTTTGCTTAGATGTTCCAGAGCTCTGAAAGAAGCTGAGTTAACCAAACAGTGGCATTTGGTTGGTCTCTAATGTGATTCCAAGTAGAGAGCTTGTAACTAATTACCCTTGTGTAGAAGGTAGTTGGTTGAAGATCAAATAAGGTTCTGGTTCTGTTCATATATTGGTGTTTGTGGTAGAAGCCCTAAGTTGCTTATGGAAGATTACCTTCTTTTGGAGATGTATTTGATCAAGATGGTGGAGTTGTGTTCTCTGTAGATCTTTAGTTGGATTACTAGGCAGTAGTAAGTCCAGTTGTGGGCATATAAAGAACCTTTGGATTTTGTGTCTGTGATATGTATCATCTGGTTTATTTTGCCTTGGAGAAGGACTTGAAGATCTGTTGTGGAACTTGTGATTCACATTTTGACTGAGAAGTACTCTATCTTGTCATACGGGAGAATGACGAGGTAAAAGGACTGTCTTGGAGTATGATGTGAAGGTATTATATAAGACTGGAGTGGATCATTGGTTGATTGCATGAAATTCTGGATTATGATGTGTTATATGGAAGTGAATATTCACCAGTTAAACCAGAAGTGTTCTAACTTATCATAAGGGAGAATGATGAGGAAAGAATGTCTTGGATTATTGGGTGTTTATCCTGTTCTCTAACTCAGGCCAGAAGTCTTGTGGATAAGTGGTAACTCTAGTAAGAAATGGAGCAGTTTGGTACCTTCTCACTGTATGAGCATGAGGTTGGTCTTGAGATATTGTGGTGATCTTGGAGCATCTTTTATAAAAGATAGGGGCAGAGTTTCTGTCTGATGGGTGTACTAGTTGCTTGTGGTTCAAGCAGTAAGTGAATGCATTCAGCAGGTGTGTTGAACAAAGAGTGAGCTCTTGAAGACAGGAAGATGAGTCTTATGTTTTCCATTCACGTGCTTCTGGAAAAAGAGCATTAGTTATACTTCTAGGATTTGTTGCTGCAATAGTACAGTTTCAAGATTGTTTGTGGTCTCAAGCAGGTTGTGATTATATACCTCTATGAGGATGGAATGTCAGACAAGATGTTGTGACATTATGTTACTGCTCTAGCTCATGGTGAACCTGATAATGTATTTTCTTTGGTTCTATCATTGGGTATCAATAATCAGGTTTTTGGGTCTCTATCAAAGTGTTTTGTATTTGTATGACTGGTGAAGATGAAGATCAAGACATCATCAGCCTTGATCTTATGCATATGGAAGGACTCTAACCCTGACATTTTGGAGATGTTTCTAGTCTTTCAAAGCTGAATCTGAGAAATCTTCCAGATAGTAATCCTGCAATTACTTCTATTATTTGTTCTAGTATGGGTTGTGAATCAAGGGGTGTAAAGTTGCATGTGCTTCCAGTGTGTGAATATGAAGATGTTGAAGTAAGTCTTCACGTGTATGGGTTCTCTCTTTTAGGAGGAGTACTGAGTGTGCGTGACATAGGGAGTTGTGTACTTGTCTAATGTGTAGCTGCAGTGTTGTAACCTGTACAGCGTTTGCTGATTCTCATGCAATCTTGTGCTTTTGGTCCACTGGTGAGGTTGGAATGACATTGTGATGTCTTTTGTACCTTTCTACCTTGACAAGGTGTCTATGGGGTAAAGCTACATGAGAGTTTATTTCTCTCTATGATGTTCTGGTGTTTGTGTTGTTGTTGCTGTTGTGCCCTTCTGAGATCTTCATGTGAATTTTTGTGGAAATGATAAATCATATGTTTGGTGTCTTAAGAACTAAGGATTTATTCTCAAGGAGCTATGGTATTTGGATCTGTACTAATCAAGATTGAGCTTACTATGTTTGAGTGTGTTCAGCAGGGGGGATTAAGTCTTGGTCCATGGATTGTCGCTGCAGTGGTGCAGTCTTTATATTGATGGAGGATCGAGATGTTTGTGTATCTCTTGGGAGATTGTGAGATGACTAAATGTTTGGACACCATGTGCATTTTGACAACTGAGTCTTGCTTTGAAGCATGTTGTTTCTGATTCAGTTTTTGGGATTGGCTCTGTTTGATGTGTTATGAGCATATGTATATACATTTACTCCAATTTTTGTCAATTTTTGACTAAACCAAGGGGGAGTAAAGTGTTGTTATCTATTGCTACTGCTAAGGAAACATTAGTATTTTGTAGTTGCTTGCTGAATGCAACTATTAAAGGGGAGCATGATAGTTTGTGAAGCTGGATGTTTGTGAGAAAACTACTACTGTTGCCCTGATGTTTGTTTGGTTGTTTTAGCCAAAATTCGCCAAAGGGGGAGATTGTTAGTTCCATGACTCTATGATTTTCCATGGTTATATGATTGACTAAATTTTGGTAAAACATGATTCTGCACTGATGTTAAGCAAGATGTCAAAACACCTACATCTACTGTTATGACAGAATCGCTATCATGTGTTTTAATCAAGATGTCATGCTGAATGTCATGACATCCTTGTCTGGTACAATAGGAGCTGCTATTTTGATAGAGGTACCTCATCAGTATGTGCAGGTCAAAGAGATTGATTAGGAACAAAGTACAGATTTAATTGGATTTCATAAAAAGGATCTTTGAGACTTTTTAGGAAACTATGAAATATTTTTTTCTACTGTTATGAAGAAGATTCTGCAGAAGATTTGGAGTTTGACTTAATTGGCAGGCATTTTGGTAAAATTAAGTGTAATCACTAGTCGATGTTATACAGGATGTCGTGACATCTGTCTGTCATGAATATGTTTGTGTGCTCCTGGTTGGAACTTAGGTGCATCCTAGTTGTTGGTGGTATTGTTTGTGTCTGCAGGTTGCTGGGAGTTTGTGTGTTGTGCAGGTTGTGTTTGGCTGATGTGGTATGCATCAGTTGAGGGGGAGTAACATAGGATGTTACACAAAATGTTGTGACATATGTAGTCTAGGCTAACAGGTGATAGTATTGTGTTGTGGAACTGGTGTGCTTTAGGATGTCATCCTGGATGTCATGACATCCATAAATCTAGAACAGACTACTTGATTATGTGTGAATAGGTTGATCCTGAGTAACTGGTTATTGACAGGAAACTGATACTGTTAGTATGTGTAATTGGTAGTGTAGCTGACTCGAATTTGGTAGTACACCATGTGTGTTGAGTGGGTGTAGTAGCTAGTAGCTACTGTATGTATAGATGTCTTGACTAATGACATGGCATACGTGTGTCGTGTATTGCAGTGTAAGTTTAGTTAGCTAGCACAAAGTGAATTGGATATCATACTGAATGTCATGACATCAGGTAGCTGACAACAAGGACGCATGTTGGTTTTTGGTTATAATGCATGAGTAAGCTCAGGCTAGATTTCAGGAAACCTGTTAGGGTTCCTTAGTTCTCAGACGATATTCTAGGCAGTGCTAAGCTTATCATGAAACTCCTATGACCTATTTGAAAGCACCTTGAATTATGGAAAGTGGTTTAACTTGGTTAAACCTAATTTATGTTACTTTTGACCAGCCCAAGCCCAGTCTGCATTACTATTTAAGGAGGCGCAGAAGCAAGGGAAATTAAGCACTCACAACAAGAAAAACTTGAGTGTAAAATAAGGGTTTAGGGCTTTGAGAGTCTTTTGTGTGTGACCTTGTAAGTCTCCCTTTTTATCTTTGGATGCATCGTGGTAGACATGTTTAGGATGTTATTTATACAGTGTTAATTGTTCACTCAAAGCTTTTAAGCAAGAGTGTATTGGTCTTGATTGAAGCTGTTAAGCAAAATCAAGTATTGTGACTTTGAAGAGTGTCTTCCAAAGTCTTCCTTTTTGTATTGAATTTTATCACTGTTGTGATTATGGGCAGTGAGAGGTGTCTCTTGTCTAGTGGGTTCTAGGCAGAAATTGCATTGGGTAGAGATTAAGTAAGGGGTTGTAAACGGGGGAGTTTAGCTCTAAATTAATTATGCTAATAGTGGATTTCCTTCCTGGCTTGGTAGCCCCCATATGTAGATGATGTTGCACCGAACTGGGTTAACAATTCATTGTGTTATTTATCTTTCAGCATTTACAATTCTGTTCAACTTAAATGGTTAGATAAATAGTTATGTCAGTCTGTTAATGTTACAACCGATGTCATGACATTGTTAATTCTTAAAGGAATTTAAAATGGTCATGTTCTGTCCTTGTTCTGTCTTAGCAGAGATCAATGTTATCAGGGCATCTGAGATATGCATACCAGAATTTCAGGCATTATTAAATATTGATCTTCCTTCCACAAACATCTATTGTTCTTCCGCCACACATTTGGCTAAGCAGCACGTAAGTATGTTCGTAAGCAGTTTGGAATATATCGTGTACATAACATAGTGCATGGAGATCGGACGAAGCTCCTTCATATTAATCAGATTCTTACATTTAGAAATAAGGCATATGTTTGTTTCACTTATAGATGATGGAAAAAGACTCCTCTATATCTACCTTGTTGTTGTTGTCATCAAATCATCTCCACACACTTCCCAAAAATTATGATAAAATGTGGGATTAAAACCATCCAACCTCGATGACTTGTCCTGATGCATATGCTTCATGGCTTCGTACAACTCTGCCTTTGTAAATGGAGCCAGTAGCTTTGTATTATCTTCCATGTTAATCTTCAGTTGAATGTGAGTCATAACTGCATCATAAACTCCCTCTTTTGCTGCAAGTAACTTATTGAAATATATCTTGGCAACATCGCAAAGTCTTACTTGGTCATTAACACCTTGATTATCTTCATTTAATATCATGTTAATACTCTTGAACTTGCTTCTTGTCGTTGCCGATAAATGAAATAACTTTGTATTTAAATCAGCCTCTTTAAGCCAATGCATCTTTGCACGTCATCTCCAAAAGGTTTCCTCATGTATGAGAGTTTTGGAATGTCTTTTCTGTGCTTTAACGAACCTTTTTGTGTTCCCCTGTTCATGCCAGTTTTGGTTTCTCTCCATTTTATCCATACTTTCTGTCACCAACTCTCTAAATTGAGATCGTTTCCTCCGAGTCCACCTTCTAAGTTCCTCCTCACAATCAAAAATATGATCCGTGATTTCCATTTCTCTGGTAGGAACCCATCCTATAGTAACGACCTTTATGATATCATCTTTCTGCAACCAAATTTTTTCAAATTTAAAGGAGTATTTGTAGTGACTATGGTGTTCCGCATCACACTGAAGAAGGATTGAATTGTGATCCGAGTGAAATGAAAACAAGTTTAGTAGTCTAACACTGTTAAAAATATGCAGCCATCCTGTGTATGCCACGACTCTGTCCAAACGTTCCTAAACGACATGAGGAGATCCTCTACTTCGTATCCAGGTAAAAGGGTGCCCTTCAAGATTAATGTCCGACAAATTGTAATCACTAATTACATTCTTGAATCCCTCATACAACCAGTTAGGATGAGGGTGACTACCCTTCTTATCTTCTTAAGTTAGAAGATCATTAAAGTCCCTTATGATGCACCAAGGTAAGTTGGACATATCACAGAGATCCCGCTGTAAGTTCCACACGAGTCTTCTTTTGCCCATTTCCGGATAACCTTAATAGCAAGTTAACCTTCATTATCCATGCTCAACATCCTCAATTCACAAGTTTATGAAATTACGTGAGAAATTCATCACACTACACTTTATAATATTCATCCATAACACTGCTAATCCACCACTTCTACCCTCCACATCAACAGCGAGGCACAAATCATATTTCAGCATCACCCTAAGTTGTTCCATATTCATCCCTTTAGATATAGTCTCTAAAATAAATATAATATCAGGTTGTTGCTTCTGAGCTAACACGTGAAGATTCAGAATTGCACTCAATTAGTTCAGTCCCCAACAATTCAAGCTCAAGATTATTATAAATCCTGGCAGTCTTGGTGTTGGCTGGGAATTTCAACGCCAAGCTTTGTTTAAGTATGAAAAGAAAAAAGAAACATTTTTTGAAATGTTTTGGACTTCGATAGGAGTTGGTGAAGATTCTAGTCAAAGTGGTCCTTTATGAAGGATACGCTGGGTTGAAACGAGACTTAGAAATATTTCTAAGTTTTGATGGCAATTTCGACGGAGACAATATGGAGCTTGCGTTTGACAGAGAGTTTGAATTTTAAATAAGGATAATAATAGTCTTTTGTCTTTATCTGTTTCTTAGAAATGACGCGTGTAAAGCTATAGCGAATTGAAGACATGCAGAGTAAAACGTGTCATTTTCTGGAGAGAGCCCATTGATAACAGTTATTTTTGACATATTATAAATAGGAGTCTTAGTGCATAGGATTTATGGGTGTTCGATTTGTTGTACAGATACTCACAAGTCACTTAACGTATCTAAGTTAATTAAGAAAAGAGTTTTTGTTGAGAATATATGTCTGAAACACCATTATTTTCAGTTCTATAAATTACTTCTTTTTATTGAATTTTACTTTGAAGTTTCTTCATTGCAATTTCTTTATCAATTTTTGAAAATTTATCTTTTAAACTTTTAACAATATTTTACAAGTATGAGCATTGTCGTAATGTTCTTAAGATTTTCAGAAATAGTTTAAACGATAGCCATGTCCTAGAATTCACTAGTTGATCTTGCAAGTAAACCATTTTTTCGAGACCGGCGCTTGTTTACCAATTTTCACGGTAAATAAATTGCCATGTCCAATGGGACAATGCTATTGTTTAAAAGATGTTTTTCTTTCTAAATTTTTTTAGATAAGTTCGTCATTTTTACTATCTCTCTAAACTTTGTTGCATGAGACTTAGGAGTGGTAAAGTAGCCATAAACAACTAAGAGAGACCAAGGAGAAGACACGCAAGGAGGATGGTGAATCAAAATCCACCAAATAATCAAAATCCACCAAATAATGGAGAACCACCATCTTCATCTTCGACAGGGGGAAATACGATTCCAGCGTCAGTGTCTGAAACTGTACCATCCACGACAAGTATGACGCATGTGCAGTCAATTGCCCAAAGTGGACCTATTTTATCTTATGTAGGAACACAGGGTCCACCAGTGACCCCCCTCCCTTCTAGTGGGGAGTAATTTATTTAGGCCTTATATGCATGGATTCTCAATGCCCCCAATAGGTCGCGAACAGCCTTACGGCATGCCAACATCAATGATGGCCAGTTTGCATAATATAATATCAGTATTCATAGACCTGATGGTGAATGTAACTTCGCCATTGCAAGGATCTGGTTCAGGCATTAATAATATGGGTCGAATTAGCCAGTCATTAGGGACAAGATTTCCTACCCAAATGCCTAATATTACCAATAATTCTGCAGCAATGATAAGCCAACAGATGGATGAAAAGAGTGCACCTAAGAGAGGGGGTGAATTAGGTACTTTAAAGTATTTTTTGGTTTTAGCAGAATGTTACTTTATTTTCCTGGTTTGATGATGGTTATGAAGGCTGTAAAATGTACAAAAATAAATAACATAGTAGGTTTATACTAGCTCCCCTCAGAATCCGAGAGTACATCTAATCCTCTTACCACTATAGGTGAACTTTAGAGTGCACTTAGGGATGATACTGTCGATCGAGGCCCACCTCCTGCTGATGATGATGTTAATCTAGTTCCACCTCTAGAGGGTGAAAATACCGAGCCAGAGGATTTTAGAGAAGGTCCATCTGATTTGTCCTTACTTCCTATGTATCTAGACCAACTGCCAGACATATCTGAGATGGGGAGGTAGCATTAGTTGGATTTTTTATTTATTTTTTATGTTAATTTTAATTGTTGACATTGATTATTTATGATATTGATTGTTACTGACATTGATTATTTATGACAAATTTCATGAGCGTGATCCCCAAAAGTTTCTTAACAATGGGAGGAAGATTGTTGTATTGCCTCAGTAGGAGGAGGATTGTGTTAAAATTGTAAATTTACTTGAGATAATTACAGTGTTGGATGAGTTGTAATTTTCTGAGAGTTTGGGTGTTTACGGAATCGAAATCAGAGGTCCGGAAGGCCTCCAACGGTGAAAAACACAGAAAATTTTGCATGCTGTCTGTCACGACTGTTCATATTTTCGGTCGAAATCGTTTTGGACGTGACTTTTGATCCGTAAGTCCGTTTTGGTCTCCGTTTGAAGAGTTGGAAAGCTAATGAACATGACTATAACATATTATAGATAAGAGAATTGGTTTCTCAATATTTTTATATCTAATATGTTTGGGAAGTCAATTGTGTATATGTTTTATTAATGAATTGTTGCACTGTTTGCTGTCAGTTGTGAAATTAATTGTGGATAATTTATTGAATACTTGTGTATGCTTGTATAAGCATATTTTGGTGTGTGACAACATGAAATTCATGATATTTATTGCTTGTTGTAATGATAATACAGTTGTGGTGGTATTGTAAAATGTGTTGTATACCATTTGAATAGTGAATTTAATTATTGATAATGAATTAATTATTCTATGATTAATCGGTAATGTGTATTGTGTGTATTGAGATTGGATTGTGTTAATACTTTGTGTATTATTTACTATGTATGGTGGTAATGTTTGAAGTAAGAATGTTATGATTATGAAAATGTGATTATTGATGATGGCCTTTGTGACGTGAAAACATTATATAAATGAATATCAATGTATGTGGTAAGTAATTCATTATGTTGAATTGCGTGTGTATACATATGTTTGTCGTGAGTCAGTTATCATGGTTTGTATTACATAAGACTTGGACAAGACTCGTACTTACTGGGGTAGAATGACTGAGATGTCGTTCCTAGTGACGTATGAGTGATATAGTCGTATGCACTGGGGTAGAATGACTAAGATGTCGTTCCTATTGGGGTACTCACTGGGGTAGAATGACTGAGATTTCGTTCATAGTGGGGTATAAGTGATATAGTCGTACGCACTGGGGTAGAATGACCAAGATGTCATTCCTAGTGGGGTACTCACTGGGGTAGAATGATTGAGATGTCGTTCCTAGTGGGGTATAAACGATGTATCCATAATTCCGAACAGGAATTGATGAGAATTGATAGGTTCTATATGAACCAAATGACCAGTTGCATTGTGTTGCATTGTTATTGCATTGTGGTTGAAATATGAGATTATGTTAAATATGTGAAATTGATGAATTGGTGAAATTGTGGATTTGTGAGTATGTAATTATGAATAGTATTGTAACTTGAGTGATAATATATTGATGAAACTTTTGAAGTGTGAGAATAATTATGATTATGCTTGTATGCGTTAAATTATATATTATCTTATAATTTCAATAATTATGTGAATTCTCACCCTTCTGTTGGAATGATGTTTTCTACAACATCGCTCAGGTACCGAGGAGTGGAGTTGCTTCTAGTGCTAGGTAGTCGTTGGAGTAACTAATTTAGTTTCTTTATTTATGTTGGGCCGAGTCGTGCTCGATCATGTAACACTGGGATCGTTTTGATTTATGTTGGAAAGATACTTTATGTGATCTACTTTATTTTGTTATTGTTATTTTAATTATGTGAAGTATAGACTTGTATGCCTAAGTGATGATTATGAATGAGTTGATCATGGGGATTTCATTATGTTAATTTACGATTGAAGTAATTTTGTTGCTACATGCTATGTGAAAGTATATGAAAAATATGAATTTATTTTGAGTGTTATTGAGCATGACAAGTATATGTGTAATGTTTTGAATTATATGTAACACCCTTATTTGAGATGCATGATAATTTACTCTGATTATTTATATATATTCTGCGGGGTTTAGAAGGGTGTTACATTAGTGGTATCAGAGCAGTTCGGTCCTTCCAGCCAGGTTGTCTAATGTTGTTTGTTCCCTAGTATGCGACATGTGTGTGAAAACATTGTTGGTACACG